CTTCCTGTCCCAAAATGTTTCCTGTCTCAAAATGTTTCCTGTATCAAAAAGTTTCCTGTCCAAAAAAGTTTCCTGGCTCAAACAGTAACCTGACTCAAAATGTTTCCTGTTTCAAAATGTTTCCTGTCTCAAAATGTTTCCTGTCTCAATCTCAAAATTATTCCTGTCTCAAAATGTTTCCTGTCTCAAAATTATTTCGGTCTCAAAATGTTTCCTGACTCAAAATGTTTCCTGTTACAAAATGTTTCCTGTCTCAAAATGTTTCCTGTCTCAAAATTATTCCTGTCTCAAAATGTTTCACGTCTTAAAATGTTTCCTGTCTCAAAATGATTTCGGTCTCAAAATGTTTCCTGTCTCAAAATGTTTCCTGTCTCAAAATGTTTCCTGTCTCAAAATGATTTCTGTCTCAAAATGGTGTCTGTCTTAAAATGTTTCCTGTCTTAAAATGTAAGTTTCCTGTATTAAAAGTTTCCAGTTTAAAATGTAAGTTTCCTGTCTCCAAAAAGTTTCTTGTCCCAAAATAGTTCCTCCCTCAAAAGTAAAAAAGTTTCCCGTCCAAAAATGTTTCTTGCAACAAGATGATTCCAGTTTTATACTTTTTTTATATGCTCCAGAAATCTAAATTTGTTAATCCAACTTAGACTGGGACATCCTGCATATTCGTGGTTGCTTTTTGCATATTCTGGAGAAAATATAAAATATTTTGCTGAAGTGTACAAGTATTCATACTTAATACTTTTCCTGTCATGCATAGACACCGGAAACTGGACATGCACCCCCCCCCCTCCCCCTGTGACAACATTCCTAAGACTAAAATTATACTGATGCAGAATAGAACTTTTAAGGTTTTAGGAGTTTATGATGTACAATGCAAATATACTGTCGACACTCTCCTATAGGTTTAAGCATTTTAAAACTATAATTCTGTAAAAGTTTGCTTAAATTAAAATATGCAATACTTGTATCCCAAGTAAAAGTATAAGGGGAAAAGTGTATTCATTTAAAATGATCATGTCTAGCTTCAGATGTTTTTGGAACCTTAAAACTTCAAAGGGATTGTTCTACTCACGTGAAACCCTAATTTTTCGGATTTTAAACACAATTTTGAATGGACCATAATTGCCGTAATTTTAACCCTATCCCTGCTGGGGTACTTGAAAACCAAAATACGCTGACACCCCCCCCCCCCTGCTAAATCCCCTTTTGATGTCTAAGTATGACAAATGTTACATCATTAGAAAGCTCTTGTGCTCTACTTTTAGAATCTGTAAAAAAAAAATTCAAATTTGCAAAAATAAAATTTTTATTATTATAAAGTTAAAATGTTGGCAAAAAAATGTCCAAAAATAACATTTTCGAAAAGCCCTAGACCATGGTATTTCAAATATGTAAAAATTTTTGCACAATTTTAAATAATCTGATTTGCAAAAATTTCGCTGCAAAACTTGTGCATTCCCTTTCCTTGAACTTATAGCATGGCTTTCCAAAAAGCTAAAAATTATCAAAATCTGACAACTGAAAGATTTAGTTTGTTACAGGAAAAAGTAGTCATTCAGGCAGTGCACCAGAGGACTCGGGCAGTTAGTGTAAAAGCCTGGGTTTAGCCTTAAAAGAAGGGCAATGAATAGACCAATAATAGTTTATGAGCAGGAATAGGGATAAGTGACAGTCCATTTAAAAAGAGGGACATGCCTGATTCACGAAAGTACCTTTAAACTCTTAATTCATAAAAAAATGTTCAGAAATCGTAAAAATAAAATATTTTTTTATTCTTTATTGTTTAAAGACATTAAAAACATGACATTAAGGAGAGTTTTATTTGTTAATGTGATCTTAAATTCCAAAATTAAAGGTTTTCATTTGATTTAAAATAAATCAACACATCCTTTAAATCCATTTCTAGGCATTAAAAAAAATATTCAAAATTTAATTTTCAATTAGAAATAAAGCCCAATAACGGTTTTTGGAGTAAACATTTTCTATATACGGTAAATGGCTGTATTACAAATTACAACTGTTTGCAGTCAAAACATAAACAAGCAAACTGTGAACATAGTAGACGAAAATCTTACGGATTACAGCTTTCTACGTAGGTATCACTGTACTATATCAAAGAATTATTAAAAAAGACTATATCGAGTTCGTTACTGAATTCCTTTGTTTATTGGGACATCTCTGTATAAACAGTCTCTCACAAGAAAACATCTTTTAGATTATAATTTAAATCGCAAGTCAGTATTTATTTTCTGAAATGTACCTGTCATGAGAAAAATGAATTTACTCTATTTTCTTAATTGAAAAAAATGTTATGCTGAAGGAGGGTAATTTTTTTTAGAAAATGTTAGATGATATTTTTGAAATAGTGTTTAAAACAATATACACAGTGATAACCAGAAAACTGTAGAATAGGAAGACGACATGAAAGCAGTACCAAAAGTATTTGATGCTGTTACAAAGCAAATATTTTATCTAGTAAATTGTAACATCAGTTGTTAAGTCATTTGGGCCCTTTTACTCCACACAACTGTGGTGTCTCATGTTCATTGCACTTTTTAAAGTCATAAATTGAGTCTGAACGTCGTCTCCCTTTTCCAGAGTTTTATGGTTATCACTGTATGATCTTTAATCATTATTATGAAAGGAAATCGATAAATTAATGCTAATTCTATACAGATTCCTATTTCTGAGCTCCGGATTAAAAGTAATAGGGAAAATAAGATTCAGATCTAAGCTGATGTCATTGAGAACTAATTAAGATTCTAGCTTTGGGATTTCAGTTGCAACAAATTTCCGTAAATATAGTCATATGAAAGAAAGATGAAGTTTGCAGCAGCATATTGGGTCCCCTTGGAGCGGTGGTCAGTGGAGGAAATTGTATTCAGCAGAGGAAATACACAATTTAGATTCAATGCTAATTACTCCACCGGAGTGATGGTAATTAACACTCAGGACACTAATTACTTAAACAGAGGGATGTTAATTAACTCTCAAGACACCAATTACTCCATTAGAGGGATGGTGATTTACACTCAGGACACTAATTAATCAAATAGAGGATTGGTAATTAAAAAAATGGCACTAATAACTCAACCACAGGGATGTTAATTAACACTCAGGACACCAATTACTCCACCGGAGGGATGGTTTTTAATAATTTGGACACTTTAATTTCTCCACCGAAGGGATTGTAGTTAACACTCGGGACACTGATTACTTCATCCGAAGGATGGTAATAAACACTCAGGACACTGATTACTTCATAGGATGGATGGTAATTAACACTTGGGGCACTAATTACTCCATAGGATGGATAGTAATTAACACTTAGGACACTGATTACTCCATAGGATGGATGGTAATTAACACTTGGGACACTTATTAATCCATCGGAGAGATGGTAATTAACACTTGGGACACTAATTACTCCATCAGAGAGATGGTAATTAACACTTGGGACACTAATTACTCCATCAGAGAGATGGTAATTAACACTTGGGACACTAAGTGCTCCACCAATTACAATCCAATTATCCAAATAAGTCTCTGAGAAAGTATATCTTCCGATATCAAGAAAAAATATTTTCTATTTTAAGAATTTAAAATTTTTCAATGAAAAAGGCTATACGTTTCTTGAAGAGTAATTTAAAATCTGATTTAAGACATAATTATATTCTGAATGAAGAAAGACTACTCCTATAACTATAATCCCTAAACAACAAATCTCAAAATTACTTTTCAGGGAACTTTAATTATGACACTTTTAAATAAGGAACTTTAAACTGCTATTTTAGATCAGAAATCTTGACGACGCATTTCAGATTTCGGACGTGGAAATACAGTGAAGAAAAAGCGGAAAGGGTAGAATCCAGAACTCAGCTCAGGAGGAAATTATGAAATTTCCCAAGGGTACTTTATAAACCTTTGTAAGATGAAGAATTAAACCGGTTTTATTAGTTTTGTAGTTACAAAATTGCTGTTTTTTTAAGTTCTCATTTCTCCATAAAAAATTATTAGCGGATTTTTGGCGAAGAAATAATGCAGAGAATTTTCAGAATCATGTATAAGTAGAAAATGATGTTATCTTCGCAATGAAGTTTTTTATTTTAATGTGTACCGTATACTTATAAATATGTACATGTGTAATTAAAATTTTGAAACTTACTGCATTCAAGTTTTATAGTTAAAATGAGTCTAACATTCTTTATCTAAAATTCCCAAAATTTTTGACAAAATAACTATTATGGGACTCCATAAAATCCATAAAGATTTTAAGATGATATTTATAACTAGAATTTATAATCTTTCTTCTTCAAATTTTCTTTCTTGATTGTATCCTATAGAAATTACGAAGTGAATAGACTTTATATTCAATTTTGATGGAATTTATCACACCTAATATTTACTGTTGTAGGGTGATTAAGTAACTTTATCGCCTTACAACAGGGCAAAAAAAGAACTATTAAAATTTCAAATTGCATACCTAATTTGCCTCATTGTGGGGGGATACATTTACTTAATAACCCTACAACAGGGTGATTAAGTAACTTTATCGACCTGCTTTTAAATAATTTGAGTAAAACTGAATAAAACTATTTATGTTTTTGAAATAGGTATCATGCTTGCAAAAAAATGATTGCTGTGATTTTCAATTTTTCTAGTTTGTTTTCGATCAAAATAAAATACTTTCGTTTTGATCTTAAACAAACTAGAAAAATAAAAAATCCCGAGAAAAAATTGTTCGCACTTAATAAGAATTTAGCACTTGTATAGCTCAACAATCATCAATATTGTCCACAATATTGTTCAGATTAAGGTTTCAAGGCTGCAGTTGAGACTAGAGAAATCGAATTACGCTTACAGTCCTTTTAAAACGAAGTCAAAAATAATCAAACTTTCTCATCATCGACCTAGGACGGTTCGATCCATCGAATGCCCTGTTAAAAAAAAGTGCGTTTTACTTAAAGTCGATCCTTCACTTAAAAATGTTATTCTATGCTTACCATAAATCCATTTTTTCGGGAGCTCTGTATTTTTTGCTCTTCCATGATTTCCAAAAGTTTTGTAGAGTTTTATCTGAAGCATTGTGAGCAACATCCTAATGTTAAAGGAAAATAATATTTCTTCATTTCTATTTTTGAATACTAACAGTCCCGTCCACCCTTTATATGGCTAAAGTAAATATTTTGTATAAAAAAGATTAAATATACATTCGTGTCTTCTAATCAAATATTCATTTTCGAATTAATATGCATGCTATGATATTCATTAGAAAATGTTTATCAAAAGCTTAATATTTATAGAAATAATAATTTGATAAAGAAATAGCTTTTCTTCAAGCCAATATAAGAACTACTACTTTAGTAATAAAATCATGTTTAATCTTGTATACGCTATACAAACAAATGTAATTAGAATTTATCATTGGTCGGAGCATTGAACTGCTAAACCAATTAGAATTCATCTTTTTAAAAACGGTACATCGTACAAAAATTGGAGTGCACGATGAAAATGAAAGGAAGTACAAGATGAAAACGAAATAAAGAACAAGATGAAAATGAAATGGAATGCAGAATGAAAATTATATGGCGTATAGCCTTACAGGATAAATGAAATGATAACATGATAAAATTGAAATGGAGTACAACAACTACAAGATGAAAATAAAATGGAATAAAGAATGAAAATGAAATGGAGTACGGGATGAAAATGAAATGAAGTACAGGACGAAAATTAAATGGATTACAGGACAAAAATGAAATGGAGCACTGGATAAAATAAAATGAAGTACATAATTAAACAATATGGAGTAAAATATTAAAATTGAAATGAGTATATAATTAAAATTAAAAAGAGTTTTGAAAGAAAATGAAATGAAGTTTAAAGTAAAAATGAATGGAGTAGAAGATAAAAATAAAATGGAGTACAGGATGCAAATGAAAAGGAGTACAGGAAGAAAATAAAATGGAATACAGGACAAAATAAAATGGAGTACAGGATGAAAATGAAATGGAGTACAGGATAAATAGAAATGGAGAACAGGACGAAAATGAAATGGAGTATAGGATGAAAATGAAATGGAATACAGGACTACAGGATAAATAGAAATGGAGAACAGGACGAAAATGAAATGGAGTATAGGATGAAAATGAAATGGAATACAGGACGAAAATGAAATGGAATACAGGATGAAAATGAAATGGAATACAGTACGAAAATGAAATGGAGTACAGGATGAAAATTAAACGGAGTACAGGATAAAAATGAAATGGAGTACAGGATGCAAATTAAATAGAGTACAGGATAAAAATTAAATGGAGTACAGAATGAAAATAAAGTGGATTAGCTTAACTACCTTTGCTGGTCACTCCCTTTCCGTTTTGAATCAAGAATTAATTGGCAAAATACTGATAAAGGTATGCTCAAAGGGAGTGAAAGTGTATATTTAAATGATGACAATGCTAGATTTACAACTGCATCTTTAAAAGCTATGTCGGATCACTTATAAATTATATATAAACGTTTTTTGTCATTTGCGCTTTCCCTGCAAAAGTGACTTGCGCATTTCTTGCTTAAAAAAATAAACACCGGAGAACCAGTCAGAAAAAAAGGTTATCTTCCACCTTGACCTAAGGGACCAGATAAAGGTTTCAAGGGTAGCATGGTAAATCGGGCATTGGCATCTTTACATGGTCACCTAAACTACACCTGCAGTCCCTTTAAAAATGTAAATATTCCAGTTCATAGTCTTTACCATGAAAGCAGCTCTAAAATGTCTTGAGCACATTATGAGAAAAACTCATACCGATTTTAAATCCCACAAATCAGAAGTTGAGAACAAATAGTTTGCACTCAGGTAGTAAACCTGATAGAAGGCAAAACTGTTTAACACAAATAATTATTGGAATTTTTCCATTTTTTTACAGTCTTTGAACAAATGTAATTTGATGTAGAAACTGGTGCATATTTGTATCACAAAAACTGTGTATTGAAAACGAATTCACTTTTTGCGAAAATTGCAGTATTTTAAATTCATGGATTAATGTGATGAAGAAAGTTATGCTTCTATGCACTGCACACAATAGAGAAAAATTGTAGAGAAAATCTTTAGAATTCTTGGCTCATAAACAAGATCTCTTGACAGCAATCATCACTGGACAGTGCAACACTGGAAGTTTACACAATCAAAGGAAATACATAGTACAACCCAAGAAACTCTGGAATAGAAAAAAAAAAAAAAGGTAATAAGTAACTTTTCCAAATTGCCGGTTTTAAAAGTCAACAAAAAATGAAAATGGAGAATGAAGGAGAAAAAAAGATGACAAGAATTATTAACATCAAATTTTTGTAAAATCTCTGCCCAATAGTTTTAAAAAGTTAAAATTTAACAAGAAATAAATGTTAAAAAATACAATCAAAAGAAAATTTGTTTGAACACACTAAATGGAAAAAAACAGTTGAATTGAATTGAATTGGAAATTGAAGATGTTTGCGATGAATAAATTGAAATGAATACTTCAGAATTCTCTGAAGTAAACCCCTTCAAATAGAACGCAAACAAGTCAGGATTAGTAAAAACAAAATTTCTGAAAAATTAAATGAGACTGAGCCCCAAACTTACAAAATACTTTTTTGGAAAGTTATTTGGCCTAACTTTTACAACTGGATGCACCCTCAACTAAGCTTTCGGTGTTCTGCTGTAGTTTTCAGTACACTGACCAAAGATATATAGTGTTTAGTAGATAATGGATTAAAAGGTAATGAGTCTTTTCCAAAAATGTTGATTTTCTTATCCCTTTTATCTTTGAATCCATATGTCCAGGCCTTTTATTTCAAAGTATGAATAAGAAAATAATCAAAATTTGAAATAGATCAATTCTATTTTATTTAAAATAAGGTATAAGCTTTTTTGTTTTTGAACATTTATGAAAAGAAAAGTATTTTCTACCATTTTATTTGTCAGGAACACAGAAGGGTTATACAAATATTTGAAGTGATAAAAACTTAATTACAATCAACAAAAAAATAGAAAATTTAATACTTGAAAGAAATGTTTTGTCCAGTTTGAGATTGATATCGATTTGAGAATCCCAATAGCCCATCATTGTTTTTTAAAGTTTATGTTTGTGTGTTTATTTTTGTTCTTTATTCTCTAATGTTTAATGTATGTAAATTGTGGTTGATTATATAATATACATACATATTAACCAATATAATACCAGCTTCTCTTGTTTAGTTTTATTTTTAGTTCCGAATATTCATATATGACAAGCTAGGATTCCAAGGATTCCAGGTGTCAAGAAGGGATTAGCTTTATCCAGAATGTGATATTCTACAATATCATATACTTGAAGGGACTGTTCTCATAAATTAAACTGAACCTCAATGTATAGACTGCCATGTTGGATTCACAATGTTACGCTCAAAATCTTGTCAAATATAGAATGAATTATGTTTCTACCCAGTTAACAAAAGTAAGGAACTTCCTCAAATTCTCTAACTTTGGTGACTGGATTTGAATAATTTCTGGAGAATTTCTAATGAACGGGTTCTTGTGACTGATTCCTCAGAAATTCTCAGGTAATTCTTCTTTACAGATCCCCAATTTCAGAGATTTTTAAAACTTAGTTTCAAGGAATTTCTGAGAATTTTTTTGGAATGTTTCCCTGAAAATTCTCGGGAATTTCACAGGAATATATGTGTGGAAATTACTGAAAAATTGTAAAATCGTGATTTTTCTGCAAAAGATATATTGATTATTAAGTTTGAGTTTGTGGCAAAAACTCAATTTCTATTTAATTTTTAAAATTCTTAAATATGTTAAATATATTTTAAAAATTAAGGTAATATGCATACAAGTAGCTGTGATAAAATAAAATAAAAAAAGATAAAATTTGTAAATGCAACAAACTTTGTAGTAAAACTCAAATTATAATCCTGAACATATCTAGATAAATTGCGTTGTACATTGTCTGTAAAATCCCCTGTCTGTAAACTACGTTGATAAAATCTGTATTGCGATAAACCTAATTACGTTTGTAAATAACTATGTAGAACTTGTAATTACGTTCAATAGAATTCAAATTATAGTTATTTATAATAAGACTCTGCTTGATAATGGTATTAGAGTAATCATCCTAGTGTAGCAAACAAGACGGAATTGACTGTATCTTAAGACAGATACCTAAGATTATTCAGCGACCTGGAGTATGTGATTGCATGTATCTTGTAAGACTGATACCTGAGATTATTGAGCAACCTGGAGTTTCTAAGGAAACGAAAGGTTATACCTGGATTGGTACTGAGCTAAAAGCATTTGTTGGAGTAGGGAATTTACCACATAAACATATGAAATATACTTTTGGATATTAAAAAGTATTTTTTGAAAAGTATCAAATATTCTCACTGAAATGTTGTAAGTATGCTTTCTGAAGGAAACATGAATAAATTGATGATTAGCTTACCTAATTAGAAACATGTTGTGGTTAAAGTATACAAGAATATTGCTTTAATTCTCTTGGGATTGCTTCGGGTTACAGTTGTATTTTTTTTTTTACAGACATCTCATACAAGATAAATGCCAGACTCATTTATACAAGTTGAAAAATACTCCATCATCATTAATACATTGGTCATCTAGAAGTCAGTGATCTGAATATTTTCTCTGATTCATTTTGAAGCACCGGCCTGACTTTTAAGCGGCTAGAGCAAGTTGTGTATGTAGAAAATACAGGTAACATGATATTTTGTAAACCTGCAGTACGTTGTGTATTATTAACAATCTATGTTTGTAAACTTATACCTAAAACCATTATTCATTGAAACTGCATTTCAATTGAATATGTAGCATGACTAGCTTAAATCATGATATATATTATCTTAATTATTAACTTTAACTTGTAACCGAAAATACACTAGTTAATATAGAAACTCTGCTTTGATTACAGTATAGAGTAATTGTGTCCTCGAAACACACAGGCTGAGATCAAACCTTGGTATTTGGTATATTTTGTTTAGAGCTTGTTTGATAACTACACTTGTTTCCCTGTGTGCAATTTAGGGCTTGGTTAAAGCTTGTTTGATAGCTACACTTGTATCCTTGTA